AATATAACACCATCCTATTATTAGTTTTATGTTCCATACATGTTTAAAAAAAAATTACAGAACATTTTGGCATTTTTGATCTCCTAACATACACTCACGTGACTTGATTCACTTTAGAGAAATATCCGAGCACAACTAGTTTTGTTCGTGAGCTGGGCCTGTTGCGGGGGAAAATCGGCAGAGGGAAAAGCTGTGAATGCCTACTTCCCTCCTGGCCGCTTCGGCCGTGTTGCTCTATGCACTTAAATTGATTCTCTAGATAAATTTGTAGATACGACGCCTAGGTCTAAAGTTTTACTGAATTTAAACTTAAAATTGGTGTCGATTCTAGCATGATTCTCTAAACCTAAACTTAAATTTGACAGCAGTATATCCTTGTCATTCTCTATACAGAATGAAAAGGAGAGACTGGTGTTAAATTTAGTTTTAAGTTTAGAGAATCACGCCAGAATTGGCACCAATGTCTTATTTTTAAAGTTTGATAACTTGGCCGAACGGCGCATTGCCTTTGCGTTATGTGATAATCTCTACTGTATAAAATCTTGTAATCTGTGTTTTTATTCTTGGTTTATTCTAGGTTAAAAATTGTTCGTGTATTATCTAAAATACTTTTTTTAAATAATTTTACCATGTAGAGTAGAAAACGTTATAGATCTCAAGACCGCCCATTAATCTTACAAGAAGGAAAAGGGCACTAATTTCTTCGAAATGTTGTAAGTATACGTAAATTACAGTAGTTTTTATTTTTGTAAGACTATGTTAACCACTTGTTTGAAAAGCCACCATTAAATTGACTGGCATAAAATTTGATTATTTTATTTCCACCGCACAAACGTTGGTCCATGTCGCAATACAGCCAGTGTCTATGGACATTTTGCTCGCAGGCACTGGCACATTAGAAAATAAGTTCTTTTAATTCTTTTTTGATTTATGTTCTTTTTATATATTTTCGGATTTATTTATAAGTGTCATTGTAAAAAGAGAATAAGAGAAAATTTGATTCGTACATATTGTTATTTTGTAGTTGTGAATATTTCCGAATATAGTGCTCCAAGTACGTATTAATAGAATGTAATAATATTGATTATTTTCTTATCTCAATACTTTACTTTTATAAAAATCATAAAGTTTGTGTTAAAAGAAAAAAAGAGTATCATTAATAAGTTTATTCTGACCCAGGCCCAATCATAATTGTGACATTTATTGTTGTTATTCAACAACTTATATATATTTTTTTTTTATTTCAGCAACACGCACAACAAGTCCTTGGCAGGCTTCGCCTCCATCTCAACAAAGATCTCTGTTAAAATTTGTCTAATGACACATGGCCTATTGTTGCGGTGCTAGACTGCTTACATTATATTAGTGAGAAGTGGTCACTGCGCCAGCTACATCTACAACCTGCAGACCACACCAGGCAGGCCACAGTAGGCCTATTCGCCAACTGCTTTTGACAGATGGAAGTAATAATCACTGAGCTATTTAGTGATCCACTACTACTGCTTTATATAACACCACTCAGATAATTGTTCAGAAAAGCATCGATTAATATTCAATTTTCTCTTTATAAAAATTGGCAAATAGGCTGACGAGCATCTCTGACAAAAATGTAACAATGTAATGTACAGTTTCAAAGGCATCTGTCATAATTTATGAATAAAATGTTACATATTTATTTTAATGAGTTTTACTATAAATAATCACCCTTTTATTAAATTATCTTCATTTTCATTGCAATGGGGGTTTACGCAACTCGCCGGTCTATATTATATATCATTCAGAATTAAGTAGGTATGTATATTAAATATAGGAACTACACAAACTAATTCTTAAATAGTTAGTTTTTATGTAGAACATTTAAAACGTTCAATCTAAATAAAGAGGAGCCCGGAGACGCAGGTGCTTAGAGTATTCGTCCTGCAATCATGAAAGTTAGGCAACTTTTGGTAATTGTATGGGTGACCAAAAACTTATTATCTCGATCTTCTCCGTGTTTCAGATGACACATCAATCGATTGGTCCCAGCTGCATCTGCAGTCCTTAGCACTGATCAGTCCGCACTAGGTCCTACTACTAGGTGGGTCACGGCCAGTCTCCCTATTACATCTGCCTCAACAGTGGGGGCAGGAATAGGCTGATGATGAAATAGTTCAATAAAATCATTACTTTTGTAGTTTACTGTGGTGAAAAATATGAGTGACTATTTTTTAAATCTAAATATATTTATTCAATTAACATTAACTACATTTAATGTTTACACAACACCGTTGCCTTATGCTTTTTACTAAAGGTTCTTTTGGTCTTATTATGGTGACAAAGGTACAGTCTATACTACCAACAGCTGCAGGCATTTTAAATTTCTCCAAAAATCTGTAACAAAAGTAAAGTTTATTAAAATAACTCCAAAAAATATACCTAGTAGTTTTTTTAAAGGTAAATTGGTCTAAACCAAAGTTAAATGTCGTTTATTGACTCTCGTTCCTTCCGGTTGACTGGTAGAGAATGCTATGCTGGCATTAAGACCGCCATAATATTTACTTTACATTACATTACCGCCTTTACATTACATATTATGTAATGTAAAGGCATTAAAAATTAATTAAATAAAAAGTGGTCCTGAATAGCTCTGTTAGCATTTACTACTTAAGTATTAGATAATTTAAATAAACTACAAATAGAAATTTTATTACCCACATAAAATATTCTAAAATAATTAAAGTAAAGGATGGCAAAAACTAAGAAACACTGTTCTACTTGAATTATATGTAATATTTATACCGGAGGGTCTATTTTATTATATCTTTTGTACACCTATTTACCAAAGTATTTGTTTAATTGTAGTGAATCAAAGTTTACTTAACAATTCTTTATCACTTGGCATTGTGATGCATTTTGCTATGTCTGGATGACATAAAATCTTAAAAAGGTGGCAATTTCATTTACAAGTCTTGATATTGATGGTTGGGATAAATGTGTGTAATTTTTTGCCCTATTATCCTTAGTAACTCCCATTTGCACAAATGAAAGTGTACACAGTATCTGAAACAAAAAAAACTTTTTATTCTTATATAATTGTTATAAAAAGTTTCTTGGTTGGGTTTTATTTTTGTTATGCAATTAGGTACTTTACCTTCATTCTATTGGATAATCCTTTTCCATTACACTTGGTTTCTTCTAAATGAATACTTTAAATCATTTTCCAATTGTTGAAAAAAATCTTTATTTAGTCACATATTCGTCTTCACATGAAATTACTCAAGGTTACACAGAAATTGGGCTTTTAGGCGGCTTCTGGCCAAATCTACATCATACATGGGCTTTCTATAGTAAAAAGCAAGTAATAGAGTGAGTCATCTGAAATACTAGATAGACATAATTTTAAACAATTATTACTTTAATAAACAAAAGCAACGTAATTATAAATAATTTAATAATTACTCTTGTTTTATGATGATAATAGTCTACAAAAATACTCACTTCGTACAATCACTTCTATTACCGCAGCTAATGAGTAACTTTTATTTTGACAGTTACTTTCGAGTGCGGTTTTTAATGTGAGGTGTAAACAAGCGCTGAAATTCGTTACAGAATGCCATTGAAACGTCAAAGACATTTAGGTATGTTACGGTCTCACCTGTGATAGTTTACTAAACCGCCACTCTCACTTAGTAGCGCTAGTGTCGTTCTCACTCGATTACAGAGATGCGCATAGAGTAAGCCCTCATTCGTCCATGTTACCAAACTTTAAAACTAAGACTATTTTAAGTTTACATTCATTAAAACTTTAAACTTGAGCCTCATATCTACAAATATATCTAAAGAATAAATTTACGTGCTTTTTTTCACGCATAATAACTAAGTCGATATATCTCGATTTACCAAAAACTTTTAAAATGGTAACACTACAAATCACTTAGGATATAAATGACATCTCGCTTCACTTGCTGGTATAATTGGTTACAGAATGCGAAAATTCCATAAAGCGAAACAAAAAGAGATTCAAAAGCGGATCCGTTTCACACAGTGAGATGAGTTTATTGGTTTTACAGAATTGCACTACAGGTTTTAGATGGAAAATTTATTACCTGACATTCACACTTACTTTCAGTGTCGGCTGGGTTCCACTAAAGTACAGCCTTATTGGGAATGTACCTATTTGTATGAAATATGAATTGAAAAGGAAACCCTACGAATAACTTTCATTTGTTATGTTCTGCTGGTACCTAGGTTCATCAGATACATTAATTCACCTTACATTTTGCAACTTTAGTGTACTGACTGAACTACTACTGAAAAACGCAATAATAATCATCCAGCCAGCCTCAAATAATAACGAATCAAACCGACTCACTTTCACACTGAAATTTGATAGTGTGACGGTGTCAATGTCGGGAAAGAAATTCCCACCCCTTAACACTGGTGTGAAATTTCAGTGTTAAAGTGGGTCAAGGTCTGACCCACCCGACTGCTGCTAAGGGTCCACTATTGGCCTGCGCAGACGAAGAAGTTTTGTCCGCGAAGGACAAGTCACTCAATCGTGAAAGAAATGTCCGCCGAGTACTTGTCACAGACTCAACGCACGCGGTGTGCGAACATTTTATGGTGGCAGAAAATTTAAAAACATTATAATTGACTAGAAGTTTAAAAAAAATATAAGCGAACAGTTTTGGCTGCCAAAAATGCCCGCGGACATAGTCCCTCATCTGCGCAGGCTTTATAGCGTACCTACACTCCTGAGTTGCCTACCCTGGTAGCATCTCCTACTCCTGGGGAGGTCTGGAAACCTTACTGCATCAATACACTTAACATTTAGTGTTATTTGACTGCAGTATTCTATACAATTGAGGTTTTTTCTTTAGACGAGCACTCTTATTTAAGTGAGAAATGTGCAGTACCTAACCATGCATTCATGAAATCAAAATTCCTGTATTAAAAATTCTGAGTTCCATGGGATGGACATATTACTATGTCTGTTCAATCAAAGGGTCAAATTAAAACAATTATAACAAACACCAAAGCATTTAATCAACATCAACCGCAGCTTAACTATAAAATGAATAATAAAAATAATAAATAATAATATTAATATTAATATTCATAAAATTCTCTAAACCATTTTCTTAGAATAACCTTATGAATTCTTCATTTTCGAGGAACGTCTCACATTTATTGCTGTTCTCATAAGCCTCTATAATATCCTTATTCAGATGGCTATTGATGATGTTAGAGCAAGCCAGGTCTTTATGAGCGTGAGCTAAGACAGCATGAATATTGTGCACCTTCATAACCTCGGGGAAATTCTCTATGGAATCTACTTCAGTACAAGCTAACTTGGTTAGCTTTGCTCGAATTAGAACTAATTTTGAACGTAGTGCGTGTGGTTTAAAATCGAACTCTTGAAGTATCTTGATCCTAGCATATACTCCTTGGACCAGCGCTCTTGTATACTCGGTAGCGTAATGTAATTTCTTTACGAGGATTTCCACTTTGTCATTCCAACTCTTTTTGGAGGCCAGCTCGTTTTCGAATTCAACGTTATTGTTTGAAGTGATGACTGTGTATATATGTTTGATCAAAGCATTTTGTAGCAGCTCTGGGGTTGTGTCTTTAAAGCGGCTTTTAAAAGAGTTGCAGATGTCGCGTGGAGTTCCACCAAGCATAAACACGGTACCGGTGAAACCTGAAATAGAAAGTATTTTGAAAGACATGCATTTTCTTTTCACACCAATTAGCCTTACCCCAAAGTAAGCACTGTGGGCTTGGGGATATATTATACAGAAATACATATTAAACATCCATGACTGGAGTACTGGAGTGTTTATCATTAAAAATATCTGCCCCCACCGAGATTCGAACCCGGGACTTCACGAGTAGGCGACACCTTAAAACCCGGCGTACAAACCACTCGGCCATGGAGGTCGTCAATTTAATTAATGATGAGATACACAGAATACAATTACATTAGTTGAATTACCATACTTCTAATTATTCAATAACTTACCATTGCTTTCTAGAATAGAAGCTATTTCGATGGCAACAAGAACCCCAAAATCGTACCCTAGCAAGTAGAAGGTCTTCTCTACCGTCAGTCTTTGCATAATTGTCTGAAAAATAGGGTCATATTAAAATTCACGTCTCTTTTTTGAAAAAAGCTATACACCAGGAAAACTTTTTAAGGAAGAATTTTTTAACTTCTAATTGACCTATATACTTGAAAATTGGTGCTAATGTTCATTAAAACGAATATTTGATTAATACACCCTTGAATGTGCGAATTTCAACTCGCACTTGGATGGTTTTTCTCTAGGTATTTCGTTATTTTTTTGTGGGCTCTACTCTTATTGGCACATATAAATTCACAAACTGTTTATTTGTTTTTTAAGAGAAGTTTATAAAATATCTTTCTTTTTACCTGAGTAGGTATTAGCTTAACTTTCAAATTCATCAAATTTGTTATCTCAACATTATGCACATTACGATTCTGTCTTAATAAAAAGCGTATTATTCACTCTTGAAAACCGTAAATGAATTATTATAAGAAGCCGTTTTTTTCTTACTTTTGCTATTCTCTGCGCTATTTCCTTCAAAGTGCAGTCGCGGTGATCAGGCTGCAGGACTGCTGCAGGGATCTTGAGACGTTTGCAGAGAGTATCGAACCTGGCGTAGTGGCCTTCTAGGCCTGGGATCACGCACAAGTAGTCACGCCCCACGTCGAACTCATCAGCTCGCTGTTTTAGAAAAAGAAATTGTGTGTGTCAGGTCAGCTCCGATGCACGACTGGAGTTTACTACTTAAGTTCGATAGTCTAACCAGACGCAAAAAGAGTTTATTTAATTTAAAAAAGATTGATACTTTATGAAAGGGTAAAATAACAAATTAATGAAAATAATATACATATATTAATATATATTTATTCATTTCATATACATTTATTATAACTAATCGACGAAATATTTTACATTAAACTTTTTACAATAGTCAATTTCAGATGTGCATAAATATATCTTTAGGAATGTTGATAAATTATGTAATTATTATTATCAGACTATTATAATTTTTTTAAATATTAATTAAATCAACATTGTCTGCATTATTGATTACAGTGACAAGTGGTTTATGGTAAATAAAATAAGACACATGGACGTTCGTAGATACGTGGTTCACGAATCTTGAAAATACCGCATCAATGGTTGTACCATACCTCGTTGTCCCCATTGCTCTATCGGAAACAATATCTAAATTCAGTACAGATTTTAAAAAAATTATTAATGTCAATCCGTCATCTGTGTTTGTCAAAGTTGCGCGACATAGGATGCGCATCAAAAACATAACGAGGTCATTCATCGATACATTTTACTCCTCACATTTTTCTCATACCGGGCCCCTTATATATGCAAATCGATTGTTAAGGAGTAAACTCCAAAAAGTAAATTCGTACAGATGGAGAAACGAGACGAACTTCTTAGCAATCCATGGTTTCACCGTGCGGGTGCCGGGTCCATCGTGAAGGAGAGAGAGAAACTTTGAGCAGTTCCCGGGACTTGCGACCCAGTTATAGGTTTACGGAGGCCTATAAGATGCGCATCAACGCTCACCTTCACTTAATAAATACCTACTGTTTTGAATTAATTTTAAATTAAATAAATGATTAGTTGTATGTGGTGTCGTGTGAGGCGGGTCGTTACGTTCCCAAAAATTAGGTTGAGCGAAGCGATGGCTGGTTCATGCGTCATGCTCGTGAACGGGTACTGCCAACGGAGATGAGTCTGCCCTAACTACTTTGATATTTAAGATGTAAATGTTGAATTACACCTATTATAAGTAACTCTATTTGTATTTATACTGTGTGATACAGCAATTAAAGTGCAGGTGAACAAATAATGTATAATTTCACATTATGTAATGAAAGGTGACTTCATGAATCATCCTGAAGTCATTTTTCAACTTGACGCCTGTAAATGATAAAACAGGGAGAAAAAACAGCCCTTGCTAAGTTTCTTGTCGGTGCTTCTCAGTACAAGGTCTCCACCGTAGATTTACGAACCGATGGCGTAGCTTCTAGACATTCATATATTGTGATCGATAATGATTATTAATAGTGTCGTGTACCTAATTCTATAGTAATGATAATGAGTTTTGTTGCTCGAAATAAGTGAATTGCCCGCCCTTCCAAGACTAACAGTCTTGGAAGGGCGGGCAATTCACTTATTCGGGCAGCCTTAATGACTCGTTCCAAAATTTAACTGTCCGTAGTTCTCGTCAGGCCTTTATGAAGGTTATATAGAGATTTATTTTGCTGGTTTGCCTCTCTCTCCTACTTCTACCGCATATAAATTAACTAGATAGCCATTTTTATTTGATTCGTTGGTTAGCTTGTAACATTTTTTCAATTTTATTGTATGGTCTTTTGGGTAATTTATTTTCTAAAATAACAACTAGACTAAAAACTAAATATTTCATCGTTTGCATCTCGATATTTTAGGTATATTTTGTCTTCATCACTTTTTTATAGCTTCAAAAACACAAGCAATGTAATCAATTTAAGTAATTAAAAAAAGAACTTATTTTGGCTGTCATATAAAGTCGGGTTTTGTGCTTTACGTCAATTGAAATTACAATTATCGATATGTGTGCTAAATTTCAGCGCAGTCCGTTCAGTGGTTTGAGCCGTGCGTTGAAGGATCAGTCAGTCATTAACTGTTGCCTTTATAAATACAGACAGATTATTGATGAAAGTTACATAGGTCTAGTTTAATGTGAGAATTAACATCTTGTCCGTGCCTTAGATTAGAGTGAAAGCGAGAAAGCTTTCTACTGGCCAAAGTCTCACCGGTTTATGTCTGTGTACAAGCGTCGGCATGACGACTAGCTCACATGTAGCTTGCAAAACATCAGAGTCGAAGTTACTGAAATATGCAGCGAATCCTTCGAGATCTTGCTCGATGTCAATATACTGCCCCTGTAGTTCTCCTAATCTAAAAAAGAATGGTTGGTAGTTAACGGATCCATATCCTAGAAAACTGATTTGATGTTATATATTTAAAAACAATAAGATGTTTCTCTAGGTAGAACGCTTAACTGAGACCTCGCCTGCGGGGTACAGGGTGTCGGGGGGACGAGAACGGGGACCGTGAGAGGTGCGGGCGGTGGGCGCTTATAATTTTGACAAGAATGCTGCCGCCAGCAACTCTCACGGTCTCCGTTCTCGCGCTCCCCCACACCCTGTACCCCGCAGGCGAGATCTCAGTTAAGCGGTCTATCTATAGAAAAAATCTCGAAAAGCTTGAAAGCGCAAGGCTTTTATAATTAACTAGATGACCCGGTGTCCTTTGTATCACCTATCCTAACGATATTAAAACTCGTCCTTCGCTAAAACGACTGAAAATTTAGATCTGTATCCCTAGTGAAATGTCAATGTCAAATTTTGTATGGAAACTTGAACAGCAGCGCCACTTTGGACGTAACGGGAACTAGAAATCAGTATACATTTTTGACAATGACATTTCGGACTCGCAATCGTTACGAATTCGATTTTGGTTCGTGCTAGGGGTACAGTAATGTCAGGATTTTTTGACAGTAAAGTAGGTAGAACCGTTTATATGAGAAAATGAAATTGTTATTATAACTAGCTTCCTTGCAATTTTACCATATTTTCGCACCGGTTAAACCTTCCCTGGACTACGATAAACATTTCAACAACAAAATCAGCTAAATCGGCGCAGCCGAACAGCAATTGATTTTTGTATATATAGAATATAGATTGAAGATTTCAGAAAAAGATTTTGATTTGCTATTAAAAAAGTCTGTATTTACATATCTTCTGTCAAATAAATCAATCAATTGTAAAATCGATCATCAGATTTAATACATAGTAAAAAAACTTAACGAGCTTTTGCACAAAAAATACTCAGTTCATAAACTTTTTTATTTAATAAAGATTTACTCACTGGGTGATTGTCATAGCAGAAACCACTTCTTTCGAGATGGTAATGTTGAACTTCTGCTGGAGGACGTTGCACAGTTCCTGAGCACGACATTCATCGACACCAATTTGTTCCAAAGTAGTTCGGCCCATTGTTGCATTGGTTAAATTCACACCTGCATAAGTTAACAATTTACATAAGTTACATCAATAATTTACGGTTACCTGGTTGTAACCGAACAGTTTATATTAATATGTCTTCTAAGGTCATTGAAATCAAAAGCAAGGGCCCCCGAGGTTCTATTTTAGGACCTGCATTAATTCAGTATATAAAAATTGCTTACAATAATTGGTCTCTAAGGTGATATAAATGACACTAGTTTATTCAACTTCGTTAATTGTATTAAGAGGGTAATTAAAGACCCACAAAATGATTTACATCTATTGAATGAATTTATATTATTGTGAAAGTCTAGTGTAAATGTGTTCTTGGGAATTTAAGTTAGAGTAATAAAGTTCTGAAACCACCACATATATTATGATGACCAGGCTGCTTGCCATGTGATAAAATACTTAGAAGAAGAAGAAGTCCTAACTTTACTGTCATCTGTAACGTCTGGAAACATGTGGCAAACGTGGCATATTTATCTACGGAAAGGATTTTTTACAATAATATACACACATTGTTCATTAGGTTCATGCAGATGCTTCTTAGATGCTGTGGTACTGAAAAAAATATTTCACTTAATTATTCCATTACCTGGTATCTTTGCTATTTCATTAAGAATGCTGTGCGAGGTCGTTGGCTGAGCATATGCGACGACCACGGCATCTCCGCTGGCCAGAGCTGCTTCTACTGCTTCCACTGCATAGCGCCACGGTAAATCGTTGTCCGACTTATCAGTTGTAATAGAACGAGGATTATGCTGTAATTCAAATGTGAAGTTATATTCGGAATGACTAATTTACATTGATACAGTCATCATCATCATTATCATCAGCCTATTAATGTCCCCACTGCTGGAGCACAGGCCTTCCCTATGGATGGGATAGGGAGTTTGGGCCATGACCCACCACGCGGGCCCAGTGCGGATTGGCGGGTGCTAACGACTGCTGATGCAGCCGGGACCAACGGCTTAACGTGCCTTCCGAAGCACGGAAGAACTCGAGATAGATGTTTTTGGTCATCCATCCAATGACCGACCACTGCGAAAGTTGCTTAACTTCAACCATCACAGCCGAAAGCGCCAACCACCTGCGCCATCGAGCTCCTCCATTGATACAGTAACAAGCAGTGTACACCAGTTTTCTAGGTGCCGCATCCTTTGCTCTGGGTACGAAGTCCGATATGGAGTAATAGTTACTATGATATATGATCCAAGCATTTGGTCCTGAGATATAACTTTTTATATATTACAAAAAGTACAATTGTTGATTAAGAAAAGGCCTTACACGTTGGAGTTTAACCAATTGCAGGGACAATGCTGGTAAACTATCTTTTGCTCTTTTAACGATAATCTGCTTCCACAATTTGTCATTTTCACTGATCACTGCAAAGTACCTAAAATAAAACCAAGTATTTTATATTTTTATAGTAACAACCTTAGATTAAAACAAAAAGGATAGATACGGCACTAGCCTCACAAAATTGATCCGCACCAATTGTGGTCCACGACCCTAATCGCTTTAGCCACAACTTGACATGCAAACGACGTACATGTGAACGCCAAAAAAAAATATTGCTAATATTTTGTGTTTATATGATAAAACAATCCCTAAGTGTGTTTTTAAAAAATGCTCAAATTGCTCAAGAACTAAAAATAAAACCCACGGCATCACTTTTCATTCGTAACTACTATAAAATATATTTTTCATAAAAATTGTTGTTTGTTTTGAATCTTACATCGAGTACTGGTCGCCTGATTGGTCGGTAATGCAGTGACGCGGATCTCGCCGTCTCGTTCGCGCTGCCGTTGAAACTTAACGTGCTGTTTCGTTCGGGTCGGTAATGCAGTGACGCGGATATGGCCGTCCCGTTCGCGCTGCCGTGGGATCAGTTTTTGTTTGATGCAAGTATGAGCGTACCGTATCTACCCTTTTTGTTTTAATCTAAGGTAACAACAGAACATTAGAGCGATATTTGAATGGTACTGAGGTAATATTTTCTGACGTACGTCTGACAATTCCTTCTCATGACACTGGTAAAACAAATTGGTGGCAACAAAGAGGAAGCTATTTTGTTATTCAATTAATATAATACTAGCAAACCAGTGAACCAAATGTTCACCAAAACCTGATTTCTCGAAAACCGGAAGTGCTACGTTACTCAAATCCGGTTTGTAGTCTTATCAGACTATTCTTAACTTATAACTTAAATATTCTCTTTATCTATCTCTTACGGTTTGGCCGCTGAAACAGCACCACAGACAGACGGACTTGTCTAATAGATAAGAGATATTCATTTAATATTAATTACTCTGTTGTTGCAATTACATTTCATGATGTATTAGGTAAAACAATGTTCGTAGGTATTGTTTTTGACGAGTAAGGATATTGTTTGAATCACTTTTTACTTCTTTTAAACAAAAGTACTTAATGTCTTAGGTTTTCTCGCACATCACTCTTTAAATAAAAAAAAGTTTTAACGGGTTAGATGCACTGATTTTATTTAATTAACCAACAGATACTATTAGTTCTTTTTGTTTGCATGATTTAACGTAAGAAGGAAATAGAAAGCCTCTCTGAGTTTGTTTCGCCGGTTCTTCTCAGAAAGGTCTCCCAATTTTGGAACCGGTGGTAGTTTACGGTAGTTAAGGTCAAATAAATAAACTCAAAATTAGAAAAAATAATGAAATAAAGTACTTTATTAATTAAATTAGGTAACAAATTCATATATAGAAATAAAAAAATAAAAAATATTTCAATAAAATATCCGAACGCTCAATAAAAGTCTTTCGAAGGTAGCTCGACAAAGTAAATAAAAAAAAAACATTGTTCCTGCAACGTATTCCTGCAAAGGATGCGAAACGTCAATAAATAAATAAAATCAGTGCATCTAACCCCAAAACTTGTTTTATTTAAAAGTCCTTAGATGATATTATCATTGGATCTTACCGTAACTGAGGACACACAAGTCTAGTTGCCGAATCCAAGTTAGTGATTACCGCCGCCGCTTCATGCTTTTGCTCTGGATTCGTTGATACCACATAAACTCCCTCGATTTTACCTGTTTCCGAGCATTTTCTCAACATTTCATCAACCGTTTCTTGTGTCATGATAGTTTTTGATGAAACATCCACAAAGATGCCCTTGCGCTCCCAATTTCTTTTATGAAATCAAAAAAATATTAATTTAGATATAAGTAGGTACTTTATTTACTTTACATTATGTTTTTTTGACGTGACAACGTCTTAAATTAGGTTGCGGCTGGGAGTCACTTATGAAAAAGTGTAACGCTCGGTAACGTTACGATGAGTCTCTCGTGTTAAGTTTAAGTTTACATGTACAATGTTTTAGTAAACAAAATATATTTCTATAGTTAAAATTTGTGCAATTCTTATTTTCATTCAATTCCTTGTTCCTATTGTGCAATTTAATTATATTCATATCAATAAATATTCTACCGAGAAAAAGACGTTGTCACGTAAAATCTTCGCCCGTAAAACCGACTTTACAGGCAACCATTTTTTTATTTATGTAAGCAGTTTAACTGCTTGCGATTTACATCAAACAAAAATGTTTACTAAAAAGAATCAACTCAGCGATGTTATTTTTTCAAAATCAACAATAGACAAAAATAACAGCGGCAAAAACTTACCTTACTTTATGTTTCACATACGGTGTCTCTTGGCAATTAATGTAAAGCCTGGTAGCACCTCGGTACACCAGTATATCGGCAACTTGTAGACCAAACCCATCGCTGTCACATACGATCAGGTGGTTTCTATCGGGTGTGCACGACATCCTATCAAATAATAAATGCGATATGAATTGTTTTGTGTTGTTATGAAATAAGTCAGCAACGTATGTAAGTCTTCCCATCGCACACAGGTGAAATTTACTCGAAAGTTGGCCAATATTACGTTAAGTTTGTTTATGCCTATATTTTGCTGTAGTTGGTCTAAAATATTAGTTTGATGGTGCTTCAGAAAAATAAAACTTTATTTATACTATGTTTAATTGATATATTTAATTTTACTAATATTAAAAAAGAGAAAATTAATAAAATACAATTGCGATAAAGAAATTATTATACTTCTGGTTCTTTTGAAAGATTTATTACAGCTTGAGTATAGGGTTTAACTTGTCTTTGTGGTACTTTTCTGAGGCTTGTGATGTGAGGATCTGAAGATATTAAAACTTGGTGAAACAAATTTTCCAAGGTCTGTTGGTTATATGGTTGTGACATTTACCTAGGTTTCGCGATGGTAATATCCCGCGGCACAGACAGAAGCACGCGGCCATAATGGCGACATCCCGCCAGTAGCCGTAAGGCGCGCGGCGTCTCGTGAGGCTCGTACGTTACTCGCGTCAACGGCCGTATGTATCCTTGTTGGATGCCTTCTCTCATTAGCAACTGAATTCTCTGTGAGACCAAAATTTTGGTGACTTTACGACTGCATACTTTTATGATAATTGTATGATCATATGCAAAAAATGTTTTAAAAGCATTATGTCCTTTGAAAAAGACTTGATAAGGTTGATAGTGCAAAAATTGTTTGAAAATTTTCCATTTTTATTTTATTAATTTTTGCTAAACCGATCCTATATCGAAATCCTATATTATCCAAAAAAAACCAAAAAAACCTCGAATTTTATCAATCTCTTTCTTCATATTCGATTCTCCTTTTCTCCAGGCTTGAAAACGTTACAGAAAGAAATATTATTATATTTGGATTTTTCATTGTTCTAAAGCTACAGCAATGTTCGTTTTTAAGACCTTCAAGCTTACCCTCATCTCCGCCAGGTTGTTTTCTCTGAATATCGACATGAAGTTCGATGTTGAGTAAGTCCTGCAAAAGAACAGGTGCTCCAGGCCGAATGCAAAGTGTTCTTGCTCTATCAACTGCGATATGTCAATCGTGTGACCTGAAAAACCACAGCAGCCCAGGGAAAGCTGAAAAGGAATAAAGATTCCAGAATATTAATTCGATTGGAACAGATTCAGATGTTGAAAGCAAAAAGTTTGAGCCTTAAAATTAAAAAGATTTTTTCAAAACAGCCTCCGAACGTCGTAAGCCATTTGTGTTATTACTTACGTCTTTTAAGTGTCCTTTGGTAAAACCACAAATAAGATCACAGCCTCCATCGATAGAATCTTTCTTCAGTTTCTTTTTTATCATGTCGGCGAAACTGCCGTCCCTAGAGTTTCCTATGTGATCGTCTGAAAAAGTGAGGATAATTGAGTTTTATGAAATGTGCCATCTCTAGGATTTTTTATGGCAGGGAATTCATGAACTTGAATACCGTGAGTCGGTGATTCAGATTTTTTTGAATGATTCTTAATAGTAGTACGTTGCACAGTTTTCTTAAATGTATATTCTAGTTCTCTACATTTAAGTATTAATTCAGTGGTCTCCAGAAGATAGCTGCTGATGCGTCAGATGTTCCTCTCCAGGCATTTTTACGTTTTCGACCTAAATCGAATCTTCTACCTCATCATACTCATTGACAATAATACAAACACAATTATAAACAAAGTTTACAGCAAAATAATTGCGCTCTTTAATTCTTTTGTTTTGATAAAATTCACTGAGAAAGCAACGTTATTCATATAGGCCTTGTTTAAATGGTACCAAGGTATATTAATTCCTAGGTTATTCAATATGTTTATTTTAACTCACCTCTCAAATCTGGAAAGAGTTTCTTAAGAAAGCGTTTCTTCCTTAAATCACTGACGGTGGTGAATACTGTGCAGTCAAATGCCAGAGCGATGGAAATGGCGGCTTGACCAAATCCTCCCGCGCCACCATGCACGAGGACTGTCATACCCTTCTGAAGCTTGAACTTTATCATCTGTAACAGTAAAGATTTATGTAGATATAATACAAAAACTATAAGGCTTCGTAAATGCGAGCGGCTCGCAGCCGACGGCATAGCAACTGAAGCCGTCGCAACCTTTCGGTGGCAGTTGACATCGACCTCTGATGTCAACGTGGCCAAGACTACAGCCGACAAGCCGTCAGCCACCACCGACGAGCCGTTAGCTATCAACTAGCCGACGGTAGCCTTCGACCAGCCGTCAACCCGCCAACGGCAACCGTCGACCCCTGACAAAACATCATATTATCTCGACTTCTCCGTGCTTCGAAGAGCACGTTATTAGAAAAATCAAAATTTTTAGTCATCCATCCACTAACTAGGCTTTACTAAAATCGCTATACTTCCACAAACGTAGCCACACTTGCGCCATCAACCTCCTTCATAACCTTACTAACCATGCAGTATATAGCGTGTGCGTATGGTAGGGGAACTGTGGCAGCGTCTTCCATGGTCCAGTGGGATGGCACCGGCCACAGCAGCTCCGGGCGTGCGCGCACCTTGCTGCTGGCAGCCCCGCCCTCTGTCAGGCCCATCACGCGATCACCACTGAAGAATTTTTTAATGTTTAAATGTCGCCGCACACGGGCCACACGCCACAGCCACAAACGCCGCCACGAGAATCTAGAAGCGGCTACTAAAGTGGCTGAAGCGCGCGACAGCAGCCGACGAAGGTAAGGGAGAGAGGGGTGGGGAATCGCGCTAGTGACGTGTAGCGGTGTTTTGTATCGGCGCATTAAGTGGCCGATGCGGGCCACAAGAAGCGAGCAACGACGATTTGTAGCGTGTGGCGGCCACCGGCGTAACGTGAGTGGCGACTCCATATAAAATGTATGAAAACTACAAGAAATATGCCGGTGGCGGCGTTTTGTGGTTGTGGTCGGTGGCCCGTGTTATGGTCCGCCTGATGGTAAGCGGCCACAATAACCTATAGGCGCTTGCGATACAAAAAATATCACTCACACCGTTGCTTACCCTGACCCAATCTCCTACCCCGTGGAACCCTGGAACCTTACTCACCGACAGAAACACAATACCAATGGGAAGGTAGTGTTAGTTTATCAGAATAAATTATCTCTGTAGCTGCTTAGCGGTTTGAACAATGTATTGAATCGGCAAAATGTCATAGAACATAATTATTGTCAAAGGAGACCGAAGAGCTGGCAGCTACCTGGGACAAAGAATTAGTCTAGCTATTCAAAGGGGGAACGCTGCCAGTATCTTTGGAACCTTGCCTAAAGGGACTCCTTTTAATAATGTATTTTAGCTATTATATATTTTAAGGTTTTTAGTTATAAATATCTTCCTATTTGTTCTTTAGTTAAATTATTCTCAAATTTAACTACCTAGACCGACAAACACTTTAATATAAAGACTCAGCAAGTTGATCCAACCTGGCCGTATATCCGCTGAAATCCATTCCAAAGCCATCATCTGCTGAAACGGTTGGCCGCTCAACCATCGCTGACTTTGCATCTTTCATGTTAAGACCAGCATATTGTACCTGAAAAAGACGTTGACGGCTAACCTCAGACAAGGCAATGAACTTTTGGACACAATATAATGTAACAACACGTGACTTAATGAAAATTAATTGAATTTGACGTTTCTAAGTACCGCTGTAAATTAAAATGTATATAGATCATTCATTGTTCGCGTGCATTTCCAAAGCACGGGGAGAATCAATGTGAGAACTGGTAAAATGACAGAAATATAAATGTACCTACTTATTGTATTATATTGTATTACAGTAAAAAAATAATTTCATTTAATTTCCGTTGTGTTTTGGATTCATTAACATCTTAAGCTCTATCACTATCTTTGATATTAAAATTATTACTGTTATTAATTAACTCACAGTTACTTCTATGCCCGGCTCGGATGGGTCTTGGATTCCCACCCATTTCAATGAGTTCACGTCACCAGGTTGGCTTATTCTCAATTGAAATGCATCATTTAATCTGCTTTTAAAAATCGTTGGTAGATAATAATCATTACCCCAAGCTCCCTGGGGGAAAAAAATAATATTTTAGAGACAATTATAAAACAACTTTTGAATGAAACAAAACAGACAATGGTAGCTAGTACCTTTGTTTTATAACTAAAAAAAAGATTGGTGGTTCGCAAAACCAGCGAAAACTATCTTGGTTATGGAAATATATATTGAATAAAGGAGCAAACTTAAGATATAACTTACATTCTGAAGTGCGCATATCGGTACATCTGGTATGTTATCCAACTCTTGACTCAGCGAATCCTTCGGATCAAACATAACCAAGGATAAATCTTTATTGTTTTCTCTCCAGTATTTCACTGCATCTTTTGTGCCAAATGGTGCAGGGTACGGAGAAAGCGCAAGTATCTTTTGCTGGTTTGTCAAGTTTTTGCATTTATAGTTTATCTGGTGTATGTCAGTGTTGGTTGATACTGTCACCGCAGTTATGTGGGGCGGTTTTGGTTTCGGTTTGAGCACAGCTAGTTCGACTTTGGTTTTTCCAGAGCCATAGGATGAGATTGGTTTATATATTTCAACAGGATACAAACCTTTTGTTTCTACAGCAACACTTACTAAGCAAGTATTAGCTGCCGTAGATTGGTACAGAGCTTCAAATACCTGTAAAGCAAAATGTGTTCTTATAAATTATTTTATATACTTTCACATGCTAATTTAACTGAATATTGATTATGTTTTATGACTTTGAATGAATCTTCTTGTCAATAGACTTTCTGCCCATTTACTTGCGATCGGCCGTGATGTGACTGTCCCTATATACAAGCGTCTATATTTGATTCTTTCCTGTTTGTTTCCTGTCTTAATATTAATATTATATTATCTTATTATATAAATGTATACATACCATTTTATCTTTCAGTAAATCGTGTAAAATAATCACATCAGGCTTTTCGTTGCCAGTTTTAGTGTGTAGTATATCTTCTATAGTACATAGTAAAATTTTTATTTTGATATTATGTTGCTTTTCTACTGCCGATTTGATTTTATTAATAAGATCACGCTTGTTTGGAAGATTTGCGACTAATAAGGTCAAAACATTTTTATTAACATATTCTGCTACAACTTGTAGATGTACATTAACTGATAATACAATCTGAAAGGAAAGCAATCAATTTATAATTTACTGAAAAAATCGAATAGATTTAGGCATTAGGCCTTTTTTTAATAAGTGGGATTTGTTTGTCGTAAGCTATTTATTTTTAATTGATAACAAATCTAATCTATATTGCAACAATAAAAAAAACTAACCATTGATGGAAAAGGATTTAAACATAAAACATAGGTACTTACATCGTTCATATTATTTTGGTAGAACGCCTGAAATTTTTGGGACTGCAGTGTGACTGATCGACGTATCTGCAGTGGTCTATATCTATAAAATATGTTTTCAATGCTAACACCACCGCACCTTTAAAGAAGATACAAATACGTATAGTAATGCAAATACTCTCAATGAATTAAGCAAGATAATTGATATAGATTGACAACGATTATTCTGGTAGACTAACAAATATTTTATTATTTACTTCTTTGAATATCACCCACAATACAATACACTACACTTTTATGCAATTTTAAAACTACAATTGTATTGTTATTCAAATTATTATCCAACGAAGGCTCTTTGAAGTAAATACTATTGCCGTGTCATCAAACTCATAAAAATATTTCATTTTTACCTGACACTCTTAGAAAGTTCTGAGAAGTTTGCTGTAAATATATTGCTGTTACTGTTTTTGTTATTAATATTCTCGCTCATGTGCGCTTTGGTATCCACAATAATTTTATTAATGAAGTTAATTTCACACCCAGCCTGCTCGCTGATATTCCTTAGGGCACAAGCTTGGAGTATTCCGGCTATGAATGTCACCCAGTTGTCTTTCCATTGTACTTGCGCTTGCGTCATGGAGAAGTTAAGAGTTTGGACGCTCTGGAACTCATCTCTGTGGTGATATTAATCATTAGTTTGATACACAAATCAGATTCAAAGAGTATTAGAGTTAGACGAGTGCCAAAGAGAGAGTGTAATTTTTTTCAGCATTCATGTAAGATAAATGTATTTAGGTATGTGCAGTTATTTTTTTCACCCTTAACTCCTCAAGGCTAAACTATAAAAGTATATATATATATACATATATATAACAACATAAACAGTTCATTGCAGTCGCCCCCTATAGTCGACCCCTTAAATTCCAAATAATTTATCTTTTGAACGGATGACTCGACTGAAATGATTTTTTTAAACTTTTTTACTTATTTGTTTCGTTTTTGCCCAATTTGGCTTCCGTCCTACGTATGAATTTTTTTTTATTCTATATACCATTAACAACTGGTATGTTATGAATCTAACCTGTATTCAAACCCTTGTTCGTAAAATATTTTGTAGATGTCCTCTTTATTCAACAATTTTTCGGGATCCTCCTTTTCTTTATCAATATATTTATTAATACTAACATTTCCCGCAATTATAACAGCATAGCCTTCAATAATTATTCCTTTATCATAAATGACCTGAAAAGATACGTTGTATATCGTTGTGATTTAAGGGTTATACACTTATATTATTTACTTTAATTTTATTGGGAAATTCTATACTTCAAAACGGCCATTGCCTCTCGCAACCATAATAGCCAATTCCAGAACGCGCTGATCGTATATTGGTGGTTGTGAGTGAAACTTCACGTCTGTGAAACGTATGGAAACTTCACGGATCTTGTGTCCCGTAGTCATGGCGATTGTATCCCACACAGCAACTAATGCCGCAGCATACGGAAATACTGTGAGACCTGAGTATAAAGCAACAGGAAATAATAAGAGAACTGGCTAAAGAGTTCATATTCATAAGAAGATCATATTTTTGATATTCTTATAATTATTATAACGAAATGAAATTATTAAATTAGTACTTACCGTCAATGCAATGGCCATTCAGATATTTGTACTCGTCATCTTCGACGGTGACCAGAAGTTTCATTTCAGAACAGAGGGATCGTTTTGTGCTGAGGAATTCACAAACTTTCCTGAAACAAATTAAGTGTTAACTATTATATAAAAAAAAAGTATTGATGTTAACGGGCTATAAAGAAAAATATTTTCTGAAAATCCAGATGGTGACGTAACGCTATATTTTCTTAGCTCATCTATGATGACTAGGTTTAATATGTTCAAAATTATTTCCTCACCATTTCTCTGCATGAGCCCATTCTACCAAGTGTGAGATGGACCGAGTTTCCGTTGACACTGGGAACTCAATCCTCGGATATAGGACACTGATATCTAAATCATACCCTTCCATATAGAGGCTGAAAAATGAATGCGGAATGAATGCGGTTTAGCTTTAGCACGCAGTTTCATATTCACATAAACATCACGGCATACATATGACCTTCTGTATCCATAGTCTTACATTTTATTTGCAATTTAATTAAAAGGAAGCAAGTTAGATCAAAAATATATAATTATATATTAGTATATCTGGAAAAATTGCAGGTTCATCTGACTTAATTTCAACTTAACAACTACAAATTACAATTTACCATTCTTTGCCAATATTCTGCTGTGCATAACGGATTCGATAGTGAAGCGTTAATTTTTTAAATTTTAAACTGGAACATAAATGAGTATTTCATATCACTTACTTCCCTAAAGACTTCAAGAGGAAAAGTTCACCGTCCCTTTCTCCGCGGCGTGTTAGAGAAACATGCTTGCAGTTTATGGAGAGAGCTTGCTTCATAATCGCTTGCATGTGACCATGGGGAGCTATCTCCACCAGCACAGCATTGCTTGGCACGTGTCGAAGTACCTCCTCGAAAAGGACTTTATTCTGATGGGAATAAAAATATTTTTACTGTCTGAATTTTGATGGTAACTTCCATCTGATTTGGCAGTTGTCCCACTATCGGCGAGGAAGCAACTAACTATTGACTATTTTCTCGCACAAGAAACGTACAATAGATATACATTCCGTGTAAACAAAAGAGATTCATATATTAATAGTTGATTAATGACTGTTCCCACTGTCCGGCGAGAATTCTCTCTACTAAGTATGTCACTGAGCGATAAGAACCATCAAAGATAATACTCGTTTAGCAACACTGGATCAGCGATGCTCGATTGTCCCAAGCGCGCAAGCATTTGCTGAGGTTTGTATTCGAGTAATCGCCCGTTGTACTCGCACACTTGCTTATAGTCCAGCGATAAAACTATCGGAACCACACACTCGCTTCACGCTGCTTGCCAACTCGTTTCTAGTTTCACTTCTCATTCGTCGTCAGCAGTGGGACAAGTGCCTTAAACTAGACAATTTTACCCACCAGCAAATTGTTTGTGTGGTACTCAGCGGAGGAATATTTAGCATGAGGCTCGTCCCATTGCTCCATTGGCACAGAAGAAGACAACCATTTGGAGCTCCTCAGCTTTGGCTCCGTAACCACTTGCTGAGATAATTTAAGGAATTCAGGCCCTGCAATTGCCGCGTAAAGTAACTCAAAAATTTCATGTAATATAAAATTATGCAAAACATAGGCAATTGCATGATGTTATCTTCCTTATGGGATAAGGATTATTCGTCAACGATTGTGATACTTTAATCATGGTTAATGTTAAATGGATAAGGTAGCTCTAAATTTGTATTCAGAAAAAGATGTGTACCTATGTGTTTCATATTGTATACATACACACGCCATCAGTGCCTATATCATAAAATATATCAGATTCAGTAAATACTTAATAGGAATATATGAATCCATATTTTAAATTTAATAGTATGAGATTACCTACTGTTACTACTACTATTAATTGCACACCAAATTAAAGAAAGATTATATGATTTCAAGAATTACTAATTTATCATTAAGAAGCAGCAAATGATAAATCAACAATGGTGAAAAAACATTTACCTGCTCCCGCAATGTATCGCGAATGGTAAGCTATATTAGAGCATTGCACTTCTTTGGCAAATACACCTTCTTTTCTCAACAATTCAACGAAGTCTTTCACAGATTTTTCAGGTCCCGATATGGTGCTTGAGTTAGCACTATTATGACAAACTACTTCTATCTCCGCAGGGCAAATTTTAGACACCTTGAAATCAAAAAACTTTTCAGCGTTGGAATACAAGCATATAGTGTCGCCGCACACGGGCCACACGCCACAGCCACAAACGCCGCCACGAGAAGCTAGAAGCGGCTACTAAAGTGGCAGAAGCGCGCGACAGCGGTCGACTAAGGTAAGGGAGAGAGGGGTGGGGAATCGCGCGAGTGACGTGTGGCGGCGTTTTGTATCGGCGCTATAAGTGGCCGATGCGGGCCACAAGAAGCGAGCTACGACGATTTGTAGCGTGTGGCGGCCACCGGCGTACCATGTGTGGCGAGTCCATATAAAATGTATGAAAACTACAAGAAATATGCGGGTGGCGGCGTTTTGTGGTTGTGGTCGGTGGCCTGTGTGTGGCGACACAGAGTTCTTATTTCAAATAGTTTAGTTTCTTTGCAGGATTTGTAACTGAGCCGCAATAACCTATTTATATGGTAAATAATAAGTTAAATAAAGAAATGTTTCAGCGATTTTTACTTAGCCTATATGAGAAATCTCAAGCTTTAGACTTATAGTTCTTATTTAATGCATCTTCATCTTAACAACCGTAAGACAATCCCGAGTGAGCATAGGCCTCCCTCCCCCAAAGATATCCACACTGATCGGTTCACAAAATCGACCTTCACAAAATCGTCAGTCCACCTCGTAAGACTGCCCGCTGAGCTTCGTCAGGTGCGTGTCGCTATCGTTTCTCCTTACTACTTATCTCACCCACTGCCTCTTCAGCAGAGCGATTCTTCGAGCGTCATCGGTTACTTTAGTTCTATTATTTAATTATTATTTGATTAAAGCCTGGTCTCCAGCGCGTTTTTGCCCTACGCAATCAACAAAAACATATCAACATTCAACATAATCGTCTACACAAAACTTTGTTTCACTACACATATTTATTGACAACAACAAAGTATTTGCTTTCCGAGCTCGATGGTAAACACGCAATTTTTTTTGAGTGTGTATGCTGTAAGTCGCAGATGACCTCTACAGCGTCACCGGATTTGGGGACGGCGAGATCTTAAGGGGACCTCAAGCCGAGAATTGGCGAGTGCTTCCAGAGATATTCCAGGCGGATGGCATCTCCCCGCGGGGGCAGTCTCCTCTCCGTCTGGAGCCTCTAGACCACTCAAACCTGAGGGGTAAACACTCACACAAATCACCGACGCACGGGTCGAGGGGCAGGGTATTGTTTCATCGCCCATTTTTTTTCAACTTAGTGGGAGGGTCCGTTTCAAACCTACATTCCGAGTGCAACTTTTCACTCTGGTTTCAATTTTGACATAAAATGTACGAAACTTATGTCAAATTCGAAATTTGATGCATCTGGATCGTATGTTTGGAACGAAGCCCTGTGTATTTTGTGTACAAACAGCCACGTGAGCAGTATACGGCGTGTGTAATGAAACATGTTTCAGAAACAAAGCTTTGTGTATGTGTTTTTGTTGAATGTTTTTATTTAACTTTTCCTGGAGACCAGGGTTTATTAGACTCATATACTCAATCTGGTAGAGACTGGATCACCAAGGCCAAAGATAGAAAAAATAGAGTGAAATGGAGGAGGCCTTTACTCACTGAGGGGTCCTTAATAAACAGAAAAATGTGTATTGACATTTTTTTAAATTATAATTGACATGTGTGTTATTGATTGACCTAATATTATTGGAATTGTACTGAATGATTGACATGTATATTTGATATTTATTAAGTAAATAAAAAGGCTATAATAATAATACTCAATCAATCAGTTCATTCTTACATTTTTATGCCCCATGCCTACAGCAGCCATAGAGCCACGGATAAATGGCATCTGTGTGGAGACAAGACCTCGGTGGTAAGCCAACAGTAACGTCTGCTCGGCTGTTAAGCAACCATCCGCGTATGCGCATCCTAATTCGCCCATACTGTGTCCTGTGAGAATGGATTTATGGTTCTTTGGTATTTGGAAAAAAAACAATGTAGACTAGTAAATCTAGAAATAAATAAATATTTCCAACACTCACACCAATAGGGATGATGACTAATTTTTTTTTCTTCGTTTAGCAGGTAGATTATTAAAAAGTATTGGACACGTATTTTTTCTTTTTTGACATAATATAAATATTGCAGAGATATATTGATTTGAAAAGTCGCATGACGTCACGTTTGAGTACACTTATGAGTGAAAATTCACTCAAAAGTGACGTCACGAGCCCCTACTCCCAAACATTGACGCGCTATAACTTTGTCATTTTTTGATTGTTGCCCAAAGAAAAAATACGTGTCCATTATTTTTTGATCATCTAACTGACGGACTAAATAGAATTTTGTTTACTGTACCCCGTCATCACCCCTATTAGCCTAGCCCCAAAGTAAGCACTATAATAAGGCTTGTGCTGGATACTAGGATAACGGATAGAATACATATACTTTACATAAATAAGTATATTTATATAGAACTACATATTAAACATCCATGATTGGAGTACAAATGCTCGTGTTCGTCACACAAACATCTGCCACCACCGGGATTCGAACCCGGGAACTCTCGAGTCGGCGACGCCATGAAACCCGGCGTACAAACCACATGGCCACGGAGGTCGTCAAATATGTTTGAAAAGTTTTTATTTTTAATATTTTCATTAACTCGATCGTTGACTTACCAATCATTTTATCTGGTTTCAATCCAACAGCAGTTAAAACATCGGTTAATCCTATTTGTACTGATGTAATACCAATGAAAGAATTCAAAATATTGTTGAAAATATCCTTGTCACTGCTGGTTAAAATATGTGTGAGATCTATACCTTTGGGTTCAAGAAACTTGTGACACCTGATGAAAACGAAATGTTCATTAAATATTTTTACGTTTTTAGCTCACAATTTTACACTAATATACTTTATAATTGTATAGAAATTTGAATCTCATCATCAGTAGAGCAACGATCTCCTTAATATTTAGGTATAAAAGGCCACTGTCTCTAACATTCTTTAAGTATTTAAGAAGTTGTAAGATGCCAAGAATAGGCACCAATAAAACATCTTAAAAACATTGCATTGTTTAAGAGGCCATAGAACAAATGACGTTTCAAGAAAGCTTGCTGTTTCAAAAGTAAGTAAAGTAGCGTTAAAGTAGCGTAGCGGCCAAAGTAGCGTTTTGTGTGAAAAAAAAAGGATCCTCCGTACGCTGTACGACAAACGCACCGCTTCGGCACCGCAGCAAGCCGTCAAGAAACGCATAAATTGAAAGCGCCCTAAGGCATCTATTTGTGGGTTCAGTCCTAAACTGATGATAAAATTAGGTAGGTACATAAAGTCGACAGCAAATAAACTGGGTTACCTGCTATTTATTACCTTGGAGTTCTGATTTGATTTTTGCAAAAAATATAAAACTTACTAATATCAAAGCTATATCTACTGAGGATATAAATGTTACTATTCGCATTTTTTTTAATAAAGTAGCGATAATCGTTATTTAAACAAATCAGTATACTCTGCTACCTATTATCATTTCTTTAGTGTTGTCCATCATTTACTCAGACGTGTGGTGTATTTTTGCCAGATTAACACAACTAGAAAACAACCCTTCTTTGGAAAATTCTTAATAAAAACTTTATAAATTGATTTAACTCAATATTTTTCTGTTTATTTTAATCACCATGAAACGCTATTTTTATAGCTATAATAGTTGTAAATTTTATACATTTTGAGAAAATCAAATCAGAGTTCCAAGGCAGCAAGTGACCCGGGTCAGTTGCTGCCCAGTGAAATATTAAAAAAAACGACAGGTTGCACTCCGGGAGTGCCGGCAGAAGTGAAAACTTGAATATTAACGTTGTGCATTTTTGATATTTTAGAATGGTTAGGGAAAAATATTGCACGAATTGCATTAATTATCAGTAAAAGTACTATCATGTATGTGGTAGAATAAAATATTTATTTATTGCGCTATCGTACACAAACATGACAATTTATATTACACTAAAAAAGTTTATCTCTCAGAAAAATCAATGTACATGAATCACGTTTAAGCGCACTTAGCGACATCTATTCTAAAAAAATGCATTTTCTTCGCAATAAAGCTGCCAAGGGGACGTCCTAGATAGAGACTTATTATTATAATACGGTAAAATAAAATATTACTATGTTTCGTCCAATATATTGAAAGTCAACAACCTTTCCAATTTTATTGTGTGTCATGATGCGATCAGTCCACGTATTTAACCTGAAGCGATTTATCATTTTTTACCCATACAAAAAAAGGGTACAACGCCGCTAAAGAAGTTTTCACTTCAAAAAGATACAGCAGCATCTCTATTCGAGGCTACAGAAATTTTATAACAAAGTGTACTTTTAGCTTTTACAACTACCTCGTACCTTTGTATTGTCTGGTTGAATATCGGTATTCGCATAAGATCCCGGGCCATTCCGATCCACTGCGATCCCATTCCACTATACACGAACCACAAGGGTCTCGAGACATCATCGTGGTATTCTACTCTTGAATAGTGAGTGACAGTATCGTTGTCTTTTGTTGCTGAAAATAATGATTTCACTATTAATTTATTGAATTTAACTGCCAAAAATATTTTACATTTGGGAAAAATATATGTATCTTTTCAATATATGTACATAAAGTTTTGAAACGTCCTTAAATTACTTCATGTTATCTTATTTATTTTTGTGAATTGATTCTGGTATACTAAACGACATAAAAAATATAATTTAGGTTACATTTAATTGGTCTTTTTTGTTGTTTTTTTGTCAATATTAACTCTAATGATAATAATCTGGTATTCTTATTCAATCGTAAATTGTTGCATCCCTTCTTATAAAGTTTTTATGAAGAAACTCTCGTTATTAAAATTCCTACCATTTCAAATTCCTCCAGTTTTACTCGTTCTGAACTGCAACTTCTGGTCTATCTAGGAAGTTTGCACATTTGATGAAGAAAGCTAATTCTCCCAATTGTGAAGTATGTAACAAATTGGACGATGTTCAACACATTTTGATGGAATGTGTGAAGAACAAAAGAGAGAGAGAGCTATTCATACAACAATATCAACTTAACTTTGAAAATATAGTTATAAATACTTCGTTTGTGGAAATATTAGCACTACCAAACTCAGATGCAGCAAAGTCGATGTTTGATAAGGTTTTCGCTAGTAAGAATAGCTCGCCCTCTACAATGTTTTAAATTAAATTAGTTATGTATGTTTTGGTTAGGGTAAGATGAGGCTGGCCTATTCGTAGAATGAAAGCCTCTAAATAAATAAAGAAAAAAAAACTTGTGGTCAAAAGTTAATTCACTTTTATCTCTGCTTTATCACAGAGACTAATTAGTAAATAACGGCAGGTGCGAAATTAGCATAGCTGTTATTTTGGTTCATATTTCAAGAAATCAATAAATATAGGCTACTTACAGTAGATGCCAACACCTCGAGCCAGGTGTTTTGATATACGATTTTTGTGGATATTGTGGAGCAAAGCTATCTCCTCGGGATCCAACGGACGATCTTTGATGTCATCTAAAATTTTCTCAACGGCAGCTTCGTGTCGACCTGACACGGTCACCAAATATGGGATATTTGATTTGTACTTGGTAAGGTCCTGATGAATAATATGAACATAAAAGTTGATGTTAAGAAAATTTTATAAGGAAAAAAAGACGCATTCTATGTGTCAGTAATCTACCTGAGTTGCATGGACAGTGTGGACTCTTCATTGTATTTCTTTAGATTTAAAAAACTCGCAATTAAAGATTAAGTAATAAAACGGTAATAAGCCCCTTAAATTTGACGTGCTCTGAGAGGGCGTCATAGTCATGTACTCTATAATAAACAACATCTTTTACTCTGTTATTCATAAAATTATATATTAAACATCCAAGTTGAGTTATCAGTGGCAATGATTTTCGTGAAATTTTATATGCATATTCAGTAGGTCTGAGAATCAGACAACATCTATTTTACATCCCCCTAAATGTTAAGGGTGGTCTACCCTGAATTTGTTTGTTTTTTGTTTTTGTCAAAATTTTTTTTATGATACATCATACAAAAATACATACATCCCTAAATTTTCTCCCTTCTACCACCAATCCCTATTTATTTATTGCGGTACAAGTTCGCTGGGACAGCGAGTAATTCTATAAATTTTTACCTTTGGTTTGAAGCAACTTTGAAGAAGAGCGTGCCCGTTAAGTCCTGTATAGGAAATCCCGTTCACTGCAGTGTAAGATGTCCTGTTGAACGGCGTATTTGCAGTAACGATCTGCATACGTCCGTCGTGTAAGGAAGCTACGTCACTCCTAGGGTTTCTACAGTTTATGGTTGCAGGTATTTCTCCTCTTTGATAAGCTGTCAGAAGCTGAAAATTAATATTTTGATAATTAAACGTTATAGTTCGTTATACTCTTATAACGAAACGAAATATAGGGCTTTTTGTCCGAAAAAATGTAAAATATTTACACGTCATTGCCGTTATAGCAAAGTGAGACTGCGGCGAGAGAGCGTGCCCAATTACCTGACTTACGTATTGCCAAATTTTATCTATAACCATAAAACATCATGGGTTAAGGCAGGCTTACTTTGAATATTGCACAGGAACCAGTAGCACTCTCAGTGTAGCCCAAATTCGAGGTCACACTGCCGACGAGTAGGGGATTGATGCGGTCCTTGCAAAAAACGTTTTCCATTGCTTGGAGTTCCATTTTATCTATCTTAGGAGAAGCTGAAATTATCAGAAATATCATGCATCATCAAATTATTATTTTTTATAGCGCATTCAGCTGAGTATTGTGTAGGATAAATCAAACATGTTGATAGTAGTAGGGGAGCCCAAGAGGGAAGTTTGGGATTTACTCGAGTGCAGAAGAATAACTTAAGGGGGTGTCTATTCAAAAGACTGACGGATAATGCTTGGAAGCTCTCTCACTATCCGGGTCGTGCGAGCTTACCGCACGGTCAGCCACGGCGCCACGTCCCCGCAATACCTCGGTAGACCCCTGCCGTGGAGCCCCGGCTAGGCCGGGAGTCTGCTGGGTGCAGAGACGCGGAAGAATCCCTAAACGGGGATCCCGCGGTTTCGCACTAAGCAGCTTAGAGGGTATTCGCAGGGTTTTTTAGCGGATATTATGCCGTAAGGCGCCCGTAAGAGTTACGGGGTCCTCAGTGGGCAGCCACTGTGGGGGCCCGTAAGGTTTGCGGGAGCCAGGTCCGTTCGGCGGTGTGCCTCTTATACCCGCCATACAAACTTCGATAAATCGTTACGATTAGACTGTACAGTCCGAACGGTACCGATAAATCGTAGCGTGTATGTTATAAAACTGCACAGTTTCCTATACCAAACGAAATCGTATAAACCGTACCGTTCGAAGTTTCGAACTGTACAGTCTGATCGTAACGATTTCTCGTAGTGTGTATGGCGGGTATTAAAGGCGCCGTCGTCTGTAAACAGTTTTTGCCTGCGTCACAAAAAAAAGGCCTCTCACTGTTCATTTCTCAAAAAGTCTGTGAGCTATTTAAATAAATAAAACAACGAAATCTGTGGCAAAGGTTGTCTTTTTCAAAATAATATAGAACTTATGTGTATTCGAAAAACAAACTAAATACCGTGATTCAGAACTTGCATAGAAAAATATTAAACATAACAGTAACGCCATCTATGGCTTTGATAATTAAATAATATTACTACAAACTTAACACTCACTGTTCATTTCGGAGGTCTAGGAACTCCCCATATTTCACACTTTGCCCTTCCAGCTTTTCTGTCTTTTGCATACGGTACAGCCGAACTCTTTAATAAAATATTATGCCCATTTTTGGGCATAGTGGAGTTGTCTCACCTTGCAGAGGCCAGGAATACTTGGTGTAGGGCATGCCCGGGAGTAGATCCACCATCCTCCTTATTCTCACAGAGGCAATGGGACGAGTCCCTTTGTTTGCGTCTTCAGAAAGATCTTTTAGCATCCTCTAAAAGCGCCATTGAGCGTGCTCGCCTTCTTGCAGTCTTTCAGGCAGAGTCTGTTTACTGGCTGCAAGCTCTACCTTCAGCTAATACGGGACTTTACTTGACAAGAGCACTCTGACTCTCGCGATATCGCTAAGACTTGGCGTCAAGACAAATCATCCTCATCGCTGTTGTTGCGGTACTCGCGTCGGTGACTTGGAACACCATGATCTGTCATGCCAAAAGAGCACTGGCCGATTGTTCCGCCACGCCTGCATCAATGACGTCTTTCGCAGAGCTCTTGTCGCTGTCAATTTACTCCACGGTTGTCGTAAAAGCCTTTGATTGAAGTATTAAAACGTATAAAATCTATTTATTAACTCTCGTTAAAATAAATGTTTATGATTCTATGTCTTAATTATTAATGTTCTGATGACACGCGCCCGTTATTAATTATAAATCTATATTGCTTAATTGCTAAATACGCTATTACACACTATGGCACCAGCGGCCTTTGAGCCTAACGGCATTTTTCGCGACGATGGCAAGAGACCTGACAGTATGACTCTCATACCCTGGAAGCTGGGTCGTCCTCTTGTATGGGACACAACTTGCGTAGATACGCATATTGCTCCGTGCCATACATACCTCTTAGCTGAAGTAGCGGCGGCGGCCCCTGTCAAGTGCTCCAAGCAGCGCAAATATTCAGCACTCGAATTAGAACTACATATTCGTGCCGTTTGGTGTTGAGACTATGGGCCCATGGGGTTCAAGCACATTTCCCTTTTTAAGGAATTTTCAAAGAGCCTCACTGAGGTGAGTGGTGGTCAAGGGGCTGGCAGCTATCTTGGTCAACGGATCAGCCTTGCTATCCAACGTGGCCATACTGCCAGCCTATTGGGCACCATTCCTGATGGCGGTGTTGGAGGTGACATTTTTTTTAAACACACGCTGATTAGCCTGGCCCCAAAGTAAGCACTGTAAGGCTTGTGTTATGGGATACTAGAGTAACGGAGGGAATATATATACTGTACGTATATAAGTATATTTATATAGAAATACATATTAAACATCCATGACTGGAGTACAAATGCTAGTGTTCATCACACAAACATCTGCCCCACCGGGATTCGAACCCGGGATCTCCCGAGTCGGCGACACCATGAAACCCGGCGTACAAACCACTCGGCCACGGAGGTCGTCAGAAGTTTTATTTTTAAATTATATATTATTTAAGTAGTTTGTAAGTTTTTGTTATTTAAATGTTTAAATTATAACCCAAATTAAAAATATAGTATATTTATATATACATCTATATATATAAACATCCCGGCTTAGGTACAAATTCTCGTATTCATCATACTAACATTTACCCGCACCTGGATATGAACCCGAGGCCTCATGAATAGGCCACACCATGAAATCGGCGGGCGTATATACCACGCGGCCACGGAGGGCGTCAAAAATCCCAAAATCCTGGCTTGGCCTCCCTTACTATAAGTTTTACAATAACGGTAACAATGCTGTCAATTCTGGCATGATACACTAAACTTAAACTTAAATTTAACAACAGCGTATCCCTGTCATTCTATATACAAAATGAAAGGGAGAGACTGATGTTGAATTTAGTTTTAAGTTTAGAGAATCATGTCAGAATCGCCACCATTATTATTCACACTTAATTTCTAAATGATACCCCAATTTATGTCAGACATCTTTTTGTAATCACCTGCACCATACCCTTCGATATATTCGACGTTTTCCGGCGACACGCCCGCTTCTTCATAAAATTGGTGGAAAAATTTCGTGAGCTGTTCCTTGTTTTGAATAATTTCGCAATGTTCCGTTGAGATGATCTCATCAATGGCCATAAACTGGGTCTTAGCGTGGCGTAGTACCACGTAAGCTCTTGAGAATAAAGAAAAATCAAAATATTTAGTAACAAAATAATGTGGTCTCGATATAAATGATAATTTCAGAAATAATCAAAATAAGATTTTAGTGATAGCAAATTTTGAATTAAATGATCCGCAAATGAAATATTAAACTTTGAAAACCAATGTTTTGTTAGTGTTAAGTTTCATTTGAGGGACATTTTAGTTATAAAGAAAAGCGTGTGCGTCTTGGAACGCACGATAGAAGTGATAACTTAAACTAATTTAAAAGGTACTGTCCGACGGCCTGTGTTATCGCGGGCGCGGCCGCTCCATGCAGGGTTGCCAAACGTATGAGAACTCTAACGTTTGAGTTTTAGCAGTCTCTATACATGATACGAGGTAAATATCGTAAAGTTTGATATGAGATTTGAACAATGTTGACTGTTTGTGTTATGTACACAAACCAAAAATATTATCAGTTAGTAAATAAAAGTTCAGTCCACAAAAGCCTTTGTACGACTAAGTAAGTACAGCTTCATTATGCCATCGCAAAGTTTACCTCGTAGCGTGTATAGATACTGCAAAAACTCAAACGTTACAGTTCTCATACGTTTGGCAACACTGCCCGGCGCGGCCGCGCCCGCGACAACACAGGCCGTCGGAGAGCACCTTAAGCGGCACTGCGGGTTAGAGTGAGAGAGGAGGAGCCTGCCTACCGCTGCCGTATACGTGAGAGGAAGGGAAACCAGACAGGCTGTCGCCGTAACGCGTTACGTAACGTAGCGGTTTACCTTCTCGTAAGAAGTTAGCACTTCAAAAAGAGGCTACTCTTTTTTCAAGTTATGCCGGTGGAATTTATAATTTCATTTTTTTTTATATACATTCTAGTGGCCCGCCCTCGCTTCGCTTCGGTGTAGAGCTGTAGTGTTGACTAAAATGACTCATCATATAATTATAAAAAGAACGGAAAATGGTATATTTGCCTTTTCCAAACTTCTATTGGCATCACTTCACTCAATTGTTTTGCCTTCCCTGAACCTCTCCACTAACATTTGAAATTTATGGTACGGTATTAAAGATCAAATTGACTTTTAAATATTATTGCGAATCGTTTGGTAGGGAGTTTAAGAAGTGTTGTTTTTAGACATTTTCAGTCATTTTTTTAAATTTTTTCTCTGCGTAAGAACCACCCTCGTACTTCGAGCAATATTCTAAAAACAGAATTATCGAAATCGGTTCATCTTTTCTCGAGATTTGCGCTTAGCAACACATTCAACGATTCATTTTTATAATATAGATAGGTATAATTTCATAGCTTACGAAAGGTGTGACAAAGCTAAGGTACAGAAAACGGTTTTGATAGTTGACAATTGTTGCGCTCTTGGAGTAGTGGACTGTAGTTTCTTGGTTGCAGAGGAAAACCACCGGTTGCGGTTGCGATATTTTATTATAAAATATACACAGCACATGTAATCGCACAAGAACGAAATCATGCAGAGAGATGGTAAAAAGGAAACGGAAAACAACATAACTTTTTTAAATTATAAAAATTTGTGTTGCCAGCAACAATAATGTGCATCCAATTTTGAGTCAATGGTAATAAATGATACGAATTTAGGCGTATTACCTGTTGGCGTCTTTGTATTTTTGCAGAAAGAAAACGTTAACCGCTTCGGACATCGAAGGGCCATTAGCTGCATCATCGTAGCACTTGGTTATTCCATCAGTATTCAGCATCCCCCTGTGAGTAAAGTTGTTTTGGGTAAAATTAAAAATGGCAGTCGTAGAACTGCCCGTTCGAAGTGAAAACTTATTATAAAATACTCATATATTGCGTTGTTTTACGTTAAAAAAGAATTATTATTAACAATTCATCTACGGCTGAAATTCTGAAGGATATAAAAATCTTTTGGTAGTTAAACTCCTCACAAGCACCTGTCGAAAGCAAGGCTTAAGACTCCAGCTCTAAACTTTCCCGATACTGTACACCTAATGAGATATTTGATACTACAGTAGCTTTGTAGTAATTATTTAATGATATCATATTACCTTATATCGATTGACACAGGTAGAATGGCCAAGACAAAAGTGACAAATAATGGCCTGCACAGACGAGAAACATTTGTGCTAATATTTCGAGCAACACAGCGCAACGTAATATCGTATCGGTATTACATTGCGTTGTAATTAATAATAATAATAATATTCTTTATTGTAATACACCATACAAGAAAACACAAGTAAATTAAAAAACATGATAGATAGAACGTACACAATATAGGCGGCCTTATTGCTAGGCAGTAATCTCTTCCAGGCAACCCATAATAGAAAGATAAATAAATATGAAAGAGAAAAGGAGGGGTGTTATAGAAAATAATAATAATATCAATGGCAGGAAAACAGATATATCTAAGGAAGGAAAGAGAGAGGATGAAGGAATTTTTTTACATCACTCATGATGATGATCAATTAAGATGAAGTTTTAAGAAAAACAGAAACGTTATAAAAGAGAATTCCGCCCCCGTAGCATGAGCACTACAGTTTATATATATATTATATCACATTTTTTATCGCGTCTAACTGTCAAACTCCATAGTAATTTGACAATTGAGTGTGATAAAAACGCGCTGAATATCATAACGCGGTGTTCATGCTAGGAGGGCTGGGTACATCCTTTTATATCCACCCCCTCGGTATTTTTCTACGCGGGACTTGTGTGCGTTACTCGACGCAGTTGTAAGCGATCTATTTTGGCAGGCAAAAAAGTCCGCGGACAAAAGTCTCTCGTCTGCGCAGGCCACAAACCTGTGACTGATTGGTGTTTGCGGATGCAAAACGAGTTTCCCCACGCCAACTATAGCGGCTTCACAAATGCCTCCTACAATGGCTTCTCTAGCTTTCTCGAGAGCTAGTAGACCACCGCAACTGGACCCTTCCATGTAGATTGACGGCCCTTTTAGGTTTAGCCAGTACGATATACGATTGGCAGTCATTGATTTACAGCTCCTGAGGATAAATTAAAGAGCAAGGCGCTTTTCTCACTGGGTCGGTACGGGCTCGTTTCGATTGATTTCGTTTCTGTACCGAATCTGTACTATTTATTTACGGAGTGCATTTGAGTAAATGAGAGCTTCCTCACTGAGTCGTTTCGGTTCATATCCTTTATCAAGCGGATATACAGTTCTACGTACCGAGAGCTAACGAGTACTACCAAACAATTCGACTCGTCCATCCCGTCACTCACGCAAAAACAAAACCGTATAAAACAAAAGGCCCAAACCAAGCAAGTCAACAAGTGTCAAGTTTTCGGTAAAGCATCTGTACAGATTCGGTACATAAACAAAAATTATATTTATACAGTATTCAAAGCAGTCAGTAGTCAAAATGGAAGTGGACGTTGTATTGGCAGCGACATGATTTTCTTGTAAATGTTGCTAATTCTGTTAAATAAATGCTGATGTGTCTCTTGCGCCCATTTTTCTCATCAGCTAAAAGATGTCCTAAATGTGTGGTGGAAAAAATGTTGAACGATTCAAAAGAGCTTTTAACAATTCAATTTAAATAAAGTATAATTTCATTTCATTTCAAACGAAATGAGCCCGCACCGGCCAAGTGAGGTATGAACCTAAGTAAGTAAGAATTATTTAAGACAAAGTCAAGATTTCATAAATGATACGTAAACCGTATACATGTCCTCTCAGAAGTAACCATGTCACTTCTGAAAGGCTATTATAATGTTTTTGCTACTACGCCACGGATATAAATTTCTACTGTTTTAAAAACTATTCTTTCTCATAAACAGTGCAACGATTTTCATTGGAGACTGCTACATTTATTAAATAAAATAAAAGAGTGGCTTATGACCACACGACTGAAGTGAAACTTCTTAACCTCCATCTGTAGGATATGCATATTATATACATATACTAATACTCGTATATTAAATTCTCGTGTCACGGTGTGCGTAATTGAACTACTCCGAAATGGCTCGACCAATTTTCCTGAAATTTTATATGTATATTTAGTATGTCTGAGAATCGGACAACATCTATTTTTCATCCCCCTAAATGTTAAGGAGGTTTTTTTTTTAATAATTTAATAAAAACCCCTAATTTTACTTTTGACATTTTTTTGTTTTTATTTTTTTATGATAAATCATACAAAAATACACACAACCCTAAATTTTCACCCTTTTACCACCAACCCCTATTTTTTATTGGACATTTCGCATTTTTATAATTTCGCTGGGACAGCTAGTTGTGTATATATACATAATATATAAGTGTAGAATATATACATGTATGTACATAAACATATTTCATTTACTAGCTTTAAGAGAAAGAGGGAAAGAAAATGTGCGCGCGCACTGTTTCTCTTTCTTATATCCCCCACTCAACTCACGTTCGCCTCGCCCGATCATACTTTTCGTAACGCGTAACGCGTTCGCCAGCTTACTCCCCAAGTCAAGCGTGCCTAAAAAAGTTTCATTTCAAAAATCAAGATAAACATTTCAAGTATTTACCCCAAAACTGCGAGTTGCATGTCGTTAGTGTAAGTCAATTTTTCCGTCTCACTATATCCATAACTTACAAACACTCCGATATTTTTCCCCCATAATTCTTTGGGGTTGATTCCTGTAAAGCAAAAAATACGCTTTTTATAATGATGTAAGTAATATATCTGGAAAACAAACAAAGAAGAAATAAATGAAAAGAACCATACAGTATTTTAAAACTGTAATAACCTTTTCAACTCGACCGACCGAAAAGCTACGCCTTTCGACATTCACAAGTGCTTGTAACAGCCTAGACTGAATATAAACGATATTGAATTTTGAATTTTGAACCTTCACATTTATAATATTAGTAGGATTAAGTAAGAGGAGGTCGATGGCGCAAGTGGTTAGCGCGTTCGGCTGCGATCGTTGAAGTTAAGCAACTTTCGCAGTGGTCGGTCATTGGATGGGTGACCAAAAATTCACTATCTCGAGTTCCTTCGTGCTTCTGAAGGCACGTTAAGCCGCTAATCCGCACTGGGCCCGCGTGGTGGGTCATGGCCCAATCTTCCTATTCCATCCATAGGGTAGGCCTGTGCCCCAGCAGTGGAGACATTAATAGGCTGATGATGATGAAGTAAGATTAGCGAAAAGCTAGGAATGGGAAGAGCGTTCAAAAAATAACATGTCCAGTTGTGGTTACATATAAAGGAAGGACGGACAAATTTTTACCTTGTTTGTATTAATTTCATATGCAGGTCAATTTTTGATTTTTAAAAGACTGTGTTCCTTAAGAGTTAGTTCCAGGTTCCAGGAGGTTCAAAGTTCCAGGCAGCTGACGGGTCTCGAAATCGCACCCTCCGCTTTCCGGGCGGATACACTTACCATTACTATATTAAGGTTGCGGTAGCATAATTGATCACCCGTTTCCGAGGGTGCGGGTTCGAATCCCGTCTGCTGCCTGGACAGTGTGAAATTTTTTCCTGTTAAATTTTCTTTGGATTTAAAGATCTAGCAGTTACAATATATTATAGTACAATTTATTAAAAAAAATATACTTCTGATATAATTATTCAAAAACAGGAAGAAAACACATGAACGAAACTAACATTAATATCTAGTTATCTATACTGGAAGAAAATATTAATACAAATTTACTTACCGGAATCGAAAATTGCTTGGTAAGTATGTTCAATAATTTTTCTAGCCGTAGGATCAATAGCTTGGGCTAGGGTGTAGAATACAGTGAAGAACTGGGCGTCGAAACGATCCAGGCCAGAGATTCTACCGTACAGCTCTGGTAGTTCGGGGTATTTGAAGTCCCCCCAGCGAGGGTTAGCTTTCACAAGGTTTTCCTATGGTTAAAAGAGTAAACATATAAAGAAATATAAAGAAAGTTGAGCGTGCTTATCGCCAGGTCGAACCCGTTTAGTAAACCAAATTATAATTATGGCTGTGTTTGGGCATAGATTGGAGTCTTCTTCAAATAAAAAATCGATGTTATTCGTAATTTCCCTTTATGTAATCGATAATAATAATAATAATAATAAATATATCTTTATTCAAATAAGGTCATACATTGCATAATAATACTAATAACAATATAAAATACAAAATAATGGATGCCTGAACTAGGTTACAGTACAAATTGTACCTGTATTTCAGGCTTTTATGATCTAAATATGATCTAAATTATCGATGGATACAATTAGAAGTAACAGTTTTCCTGATAGAATGAATTTCGCAAGTCATGACATTATGGCCGGTAAAACGGCCGAACAGAAGAACACGAGCGACATCTGCCATCTGCGGGCGACATCCAATGACGTTTGTGCTAAGCGCGCTACATTGGTACGATCCAATAGACGCCACCCGTTGAATAAGTGCAATTCTTTGCTATGATTTTGTAATATTCCTTTTCTTTTATATGTATATATATGTGGGGTTTATACGGGCGCGAACATAAGCTAGCAGCCGCCCGCGACTTCGTCCACGTTAACTTTACTTTTTGAGAACCCTCCAGAAACTTAAGATTTTTCGGCATAACTATCCTATATCTCAATCCATGTCATAAACTTTATGCGTACCAATGTGGCGGCGATATCTACACGCCCCACATATATCCAACATAAAGGAATTAATCAATCGCCTCTTCAAGAGATTGCGCTACCAACACTGCGATCAATAAAAATAGAAACCAAATCGCGCAAGGGAAATCCGAAGTCAAACACTTAATATATACAATGCTCGACCAACATCAGTCTTCCCCCTACGACAACGGCTTACTCAAGCCGAGATCAGAGACTCAGAGACGCCCTCTAGTTGAGCCGACCCCCTCAGGTTCGAGTGGTCTAGAGGCTGCAGAGAGGAGACTCCCCCCGTGGAAATATTATCCGCCTGGAATACCTCTAGAGGCACTCGCCAATTCTCGGCTTGAGGTCCCCTTAGGATCTCGCTGTCCCCAAACCCAGTGACGCTGTAAAGGTCATCTGCGACACACTCAAGGAAGATCTTTTCCTCTGGCCTTCCTATACCATAATTTTACCCAAATACGTTTAATAGTGTTTGCGCGATTGACTTTCACATTTGTAATATTAATAGGATTTGGCCTCAACATAAAGCAGCTAGTTAATCATAAAAGTTCTTCTTACATTTTTGAAGATCTTGTCCATGAATTCGACATAACTGTCGCAGTCGGGTAACAGTCCGGATACGCCCGATATGACCACCGCTTCGGGCGAGGTACCGGAGCTCTCGGACGTGGGGCCAGCACGCTTTCCAGTCGAAGGTGACATGATATAGCTGCTGGTGAAACATTATATCAGTGGGTTATAGACAAAAAAATATCAAGGTAAACTGTACTCTGGACTGGACTGGAATATTTTAAAGTAAAAAGTTTATTACATCGCCACAAATGTTATCGTTCATCTTTAGCTTGTCGCTTACATTTTTAATTGTTATTTAAAAACACGGGGCCTTATCTACAGTCATCGAATCTTCAGTGGTAGAAAGCTCGCCTACCACGGGGGCGGCTCGGGTTCAACTCCCAGTCGAGAAAGACTTTATTTTATTTTCTATAAGCCAAAGTAACATAAAATAAGTATAGGTAAACAATATACGGCCTGCGCTGCGTAAGCGGGAGCACGGAGTGGAAGTCCGTCGCGGGGATCCGCTCCGTGCTCCGTCGGGGGACCCGTTCCACCCGTCCCGGGACCCGCGATGGATACCCACCTCTCGTAGCGCCGTCTGTACATTTTCGATCGCGAGTGAACACTCGATAATGGAATATCTTTGTTGATAATACTACTACCAAGCCAAAAGACGACGTTAAAGGTTTTACTTGCATCGTGGTTTCATAAAACCACACCATTTTTTTTATGAACATCTTAGATTAAAATAAAAAGGGAAAATATGGCACTCGCGGCTCAAAAGTGTACCGCTTATTGTGGTGCTTGACCACAATTCGCTTCAGTCACAATTGGACATTCAAACACGCTTCACGTGCGTAAAATACGAATAATTCAAGATCAAATAACATATGCAGGTGGAACTATCCAAGTAACGTTGCACCAGTGTTCAGCGCTTAAGCAGTGAGTGGGCATGACGAAAGAAAAAGAGACGAAAGATGTTGTTCTAATTTTCACCACCCGAACGTGGCGCCATTTGGAAATGCGCGCCATTTTCTTCTTAGAAGAAGTTTGCTTCATTACCTAAATTAGGTATAGGTACTGTTTTTACCCGACTGCCAAAGAGGGAGGGTAATGTTGAGGGAGTGTATGTAAGTATGTATGTATGTCTGTTCCTTTGTGACCTCCTGTAGCCTAAACGGCTTGATGGATTTTGATGTATGAGGTATCGTTAGATTTGTCTTGATTACGGGAGTGTCATAGGATACATTTTATCCTAAAAGTCCCACGGGATAAAGACATAATAATATTTTTTCTAAATTTCCCTTTAAAAAAATATGTATGCGGTATCATTAGATTCATTTTTAGACTGTCTTAAGGTACTTAATAATTCCCGCGATATTAATTCCCTTACTGAAGTAACAAGACTACGGTATATACCGTCTTAAAATACTAACTAACTAAAAAGTGTGAAATAAAAAAGGTAAATTTAAAAAATCAAAAAACCCGACTGCTTAATTATACTTCAAATAAAAACTGAAAAGAAAAAAACAAGTCCAGTAGTCTATAATTCTGTTAATAAGGAACAAAGCTACTTTAACAGTCGGGACCCACTGTTGAAAAATATTATGTATTCTTGAATATCTAATGGGTCCCGACTGTTAAAGTAGCTTTGTTCCTTATTAACAGAATTATAGACTACTGGACTTGTTTTTTTCTTTTCAGTTTTTATTTGAAGTATAATTAAGCAGTCGGGTTTTTTGATTTTTTAAATTTACCTTTTTCTCACAAATGTGTTGAAAAACGCCGCCACACGTCACTCGCGCGATTCCCCACCCCTCTCTCCCTTACCTTAGTCGGCCGCTGTCGCGCGCTTCAGCCACTTTAGTAGCCGCTTCTAGCTTCTCGTGGCGGCGTTTGTGGCTGTGGCGTGTGGCCCGTGTGCGGTGACACTAACAACGATTGGTGTAGGAAGAAGGAGAAAACCGAAAGACTTGCCCAGATGGGAGAGTTGATGGGAAACTTTTTGGGGGAGCATACTATACATAACATTCATAATGACCAAGATCTTCGCGTATTCAATCTCTTGCTCCAGGGAAAAAGACAACACTGGACAATATTTTTTGCCCCTCCAGCATGATTTTCATTCTCGCTATATTTTCAGAATTGATAGGAGCTCGACGGTGCAGGTGGTAAGTGCGCGCCTGCGATCATGAAAGTTAATCAACTGTTGTAAAGGTCGGTCATATGATGGGTGGCCAAAAATTATTATCTCGAACTCCTCTGTGCTCCTGCAGTCGTTAGCATCCACCCATCAGCACTAGGCCGGCGTCATGGGTCACAGGTCACGGATCACGGGCATTCTCTCCATCTCATCCATACATGGCCCAGCAGTGGGTACATTAATAGGCTGATGATGATGATTTTAAACTTTGTTGTGGCTTGAAAATAATAAAAAAGAAAGCAATTTGTGTTAAAAGTATAAATTAAAGAAGTATGAAATCTGAACCAGGAAGATACCCATAAAATAATAATACAATTAAATAAAAACTGTTTTTTTCAAAACACTTACTGCTATTTCGTCAGCGTCAAGCTTGTCATAAAATCACACTACAGACATTTATAAAAACATCATTCTTTTATAAATTTTCGTTGAAATAATTTGTTATGCAAATGGTATAATTATTACCTATAGTCTTGTGATTAATTATTGCAATATGCAGTCATCGGGTTAATGAAAACTTCATGAAAGTTATTTTAATGTTCTTCCATTTTATTAATAACTAGTGGCCCGCCCTCGCTTCGCTTCGGTGTAGAGCTGAAGCGTAGACTATAGTTATTGTTCTCAGGCTTGTATTATACACAATGACATTCTTCTTATACCTACCGCCGCCGCGACCCGTGTCGAGCGCTTCAACCGTTACACAAAAATAATCCTTATAGCATGATTTAGTATTCACGTGCGACGACGCTATGGCTTATTTCATGTATAAGTTTAGTGTTTCTATACCGATTTCTATGATTATTTTTTTATTGAATATGTAATAATGTTAACTTTTTAAAATTAGGGATGAGTGAGAGTATTATAAACGTAAAATTAAACAAATATAATCAGAATGCTCCGAACTGCTAAGCTATGAGGAGTTACACGTGTTATTGTGAGTCAGCCATAAAAGATAGACATAGGCTATTGCGGGATATTTTTAGACAATTTTATGTAGAATATTTCCGTCATACATGATTTCTATGTAATTTTAACCATTAAGGCTGCACACGCGACGGAAGCTTAAAAAATGGAGTAACTTCTCCCGTTTTCCCAACATTTCCCTTCACTACTCTGCTTCTATTGATTGTAGCGTAATGAAAAGTATACTATAACCTGCCCAGAAGTATGAAGAATAATTGTACCAAGTTTCGTTAAAATCCGTCGAGTAGTTTTTGTTTCTATAAGGAACATACACACAGACAGACAGACAAAAAATTTACTGATTGCATTTTTGGCATCAGTATCGATTATTAATCACCCCCTGATAGTTATTTTGAAAATATATTTCATGTACAGAATTGACCTCTCTACAGATTTATTATAAGTATAGATAATCCTTAATCCTTAATCTAGGTTGACTCCGTTGACTCATGTCAAATTGTATTAAATAGGTAAATGTTTATTTCTTATAATTTTTGGTATGATGAACCCTCTATGAACCTAAATACATCGATGTCTCTACATAAAATTAGAAGATGGCTGTAGTAAATTATTTTGAAAAATAGTTTTTTAGCCTATACTTTTTAACCACTGAAAACGCTGTCCACAATGATTGTGACGTCATAAAATGTGTAAACAACTAAACTTCATTGGCGTGTTACTGTGGTTTCTTTCGTCTGACTAAAATATGTCTTAAGACTCTTATATCTTGTTGAAAAGTATCCGTTTATTGTTTTTTTTTGACTAAATGAATGCTGGACCCCGGATTTGTGAAAGCAGAAACCACAAAACTCTTTGAATTAGTAGGTACATACGTAACCTTTAAACTTGAATTTTAAAATTTAAAATCTTAAACAATAAGTACTTACATTGAATTGATATTTGCAAAAATAAATGACCTACAGTTACAGGCTTTTCATTTCTCTACGCAATTATTAAAAACCACAACTTTTCTGGAGTCTTTGATGTGTTTTTTTATTCTCGTACAATACAATCATGATAATTACTATATTTTTCGTATTATCTATTAGAAATCATGGTTTTATAATATAAATTCAGATAGGTTATTTCCTACGTGCTTGCGAGTGTTTTTTTACAAATGTTTTGACGTCATAGCATAGATAAATTTGTAGACTAAAATGGCCGACAGCGTTTTTGTATGTCCAAGACAAATATTTTTTTAAATTAAAGTTTTGTAGCTTTCTAGGTAAAAAAAAAATACTTTTTTCCATTTACAACCTATTTCCACGTCTAAATGACAGGAGCGATTTAAATAAAATTTGGTATGGAGTTAGCTGACACCCTGGATTAACACAAAAGCTACGTTTTACTGCGGGAAAATATCCCTAATAAACTGCGGGTAGCACCGCGGGACACAGCTAGTTATATATAAATTCGACTGTTAAATTTGTTCAATGCAAAAAACAATATTCTGCGGTTCAATGGCAGCAATTAGGTAATGTCATACGCTACCAATAGGTTAATTAATGTGTAAAGGTCGTGAATAACTTAAATCGGTTTTGGGCGTTGCTTTGTAATAATTTAATCTTCTTCTTGACTTTGCTAAGCTAAACAGGGTCCAATTTTGTTGTATCTTTATTTATGACACATTTGCTCGTTAAGCCTCTCTTATTGCACCAATTTCAATATCATAATCTATCACATTACACACGCGTGCGGTAATGTAAAGTAAAACGCACGGCTTATTATGTTCCGTCTACCAACGAACGAGACATTTTTAAATCGTAGCAAAGACTTTTTATGTCAGAAAGGTAGCCAACATTTTCTTAATAAAATTAACTTTCATCATCATCATCATCATCAGCCTATTAATGCCCCTACTGCTGAGGCACAGGCCTTCCCTATGGATGGAATAGGGAGAAAAATTAACTTTGAGAGATAAAATATAATAAAAACATTTAATTCTTTAATTTGATTCATTTTGACAAAAAATTACAATCAATAATTTGCTTTATTAGTAACACTGGCTGTTTTTGTTCCTTTAAAAAAGTTATTTCTTTTTCTTTTCGCTGTATTGTTTTTATTTGAAAATATTGTCAAGTAGTAACGAATTTATTAATTTGACACCGCAAGAAGTTGAAAAAGGCTAAGCCTCTTGCCCGAAAAACCCAGGGATAGATACTACAGTCAAGCGTATCAAAATTTCATCTTATGTAAAACAAACAAAGATGTAAATTCATTTTCAGAAAGAACGTACGTAGGTAGTATAGTACTATTTCCTCGCACAGGTGTTATAAAACGTCGTATGGTCCCGGTCCCAAATGACTACCGACTCATATGTGCGGTTTGATAATTACAGCCTCTGCCTTCTTATAGCCCTCACCTACGGGCTCGGGCTAACAATATCGCCTCGGCTGTAATTCTTAACTTACCGCACTTATATCATAATGTACTATTATATACCTACCAACATTGTAATATTTGAGAATGCAAATAAATTAAATTGAATTGAATAAATTACATAGCATTACAAATCCGTTATCAATTCCTTTAAAAAAACTACACTCATCAAACGTGTCCAGTTATAAAGAACAGCCGTGCCGTACATCATATAGGGTGTTATTTATAACTGGATACTTAGATAAAGATTGTTTGTTCGTGTGTTTGTATGTTTGTTACTAAATCATGCAAAACTACTAAACGGATTTGAATGAAATTTGGTACTCGTACAATTAATGAACTAGATTGAGACATCGAATACTTTTTATGATGAAAAAATGTTAGTGTTTTGTGTGTGTGCAATCTAGAATTTATCTATCTATATTTATAAAGTACTAGTGGCCCATTCTCTCTTTGCTTCGGTGTAGAGCTGTAGTTTTTGTTCAAAGGCTTGCATTATACACAATGACTTTCTTCATAATAATATTAAACCTTCCATTCCAAGTAAAAAATTCGTTGCTTAGTTTAGGACCCTGTAGTGTTTGTTTTTGAACAGGGCGTGACACTGACACACGTAGGACAGCTGTTTTGTCTATGATAGCGAACCGCTTACGTCAGCGTAGCTGTCAAACTTCATTGATTGGGTTGGTAGCCTTGAGGGAAGAGTCGATTTTTCTATTCGACTAAAATATTCGCCTTGAGACTTATAAAAAAAAAAAAAAAAAGTAATCAGGCAGTGAATCTCTGTGGGGGCGCGTGGATGAATGGATGGAGTTTGACAGTTGTTGAATTTTGAATAGTTTTTCCCAGATCGATTTGAGTCCTCCTTATCGGGTGCTGTTTTTAATCGATTTTGAATTTTACTCGAAATTGAATTTCCTCGCTGATTTGGGTAGGTATTCCCTTTTCCTCAGCTTACGGCGAGCGTAGGTATATAGTTTTGAGTTTATTCTTCGGTTCGTCTCGAATGCGGCGGCTGTCTGTTTGACTGTGGCCTTTGCCTTCAGTTGGAATGGGAAACAAATCATAGACACATGTTTGGGAGTGGACGACCCGTCTATCATCTATGAGCAATTGTCAAAACAACATTTAAAATTTCACAATCTGTTTGTGGTACAGTTAACTTTTCATCTTTTCTTCTGCCCAAAGTATATTGTAAGGCATATTATAGTCGTCGGAGTCGTGAAATAGATCCGAAAAGTTTATATCCTGAAGGATATTGGCGGAAATAGCGCGAAGTCGCTAACCGAACTGAGTTTCGCAGGTATATTGGAGTAACTCTTTTTCCTACTTATTTTGCAAGTTTGGGCTGTGAAAAATAACCTTTCTGTTGATATTCTGTATCGTAGGTGGACGAACACGAACCTTCGCAAGGCGTTGCAATAATAAGGCAGTAACTTGTGATAGGAAACAAAATACTTACGGATAGTTTCATATTTCGAACGGTAAGCTATCATCTGACCTCATATTTATTCTCCTAGCACTAATTGAACTGCATTATGCACAATATAGTGATTCTTGTCATCAAATATACCTAATCATTCTTGTCAAGTTAGTGAACATGAAATTGATTTCCTTCAACCCGGTGGGATGGGCCCCAGTCATGTAGTGATTCAAATTTTAAAGTGTAAACATTGACCGTGAATATCCCTCACTCCCTCACCCACTACAGATGTGGTAATCTATGTATTTTCCCCATATCTGATCATTTTTTTTCAATGTGAACTTCAGGCTTGTACGTTCCCCTCAAGAAATACTGGAGGACTAACAAGGAGACTCTTTTTCTGTACACGGACCAGAAGGGACGCGGGAGTTTATTTGCCAGCCGCTCTCCGGTTTTATGTAACCCGGCCGTAACAGCAGACAGATTATACACAGCTAAACCTATCCTAATCAAGGTATTTCACTACTAACCCCGGGTGAGCGTGGAGAAGAACCACAAGGCGAGGTTGGACCCCGACCTACCCATTTCCATATATATACATATATCTATATAACTGGTTATCTCACTCAGAACTAGAATTAACTAAGTTTGTCACCAATATCGATCAAACGAGCCGTAGAACCTCTGAAATCCACTAAATAGCTTATTCAGTCTAGTCTATGTGGTATGTGTGGATAAAATATATTAGATATAGTTGAGAACTCATGTAAGTACATAGTAAAGTGTTATGAATGTCTGATGTTCATATGGTTATAACATCTCATGACAACTTGTTGGTTTATATCCACTTTAACTTTGAACTACTGTATTCAGCTTAGATATTTATAATTAGTGAAAATTAGTTATTATATAAATAATAAACATAGTTAGGCTTGTTGATTTATATAAGCAATAACTTAAAACTACTGAATTCCTCTGCTTTGGTATCTATAATGGATAAAATATA